GCCCGGCTTGTGTATTGTTTAATCCCCTCAACTGTATGTAATATCTTCAAGAGGAGATACTGTCTTTTTTTTTCTTTTTTTTTTTTGAGATGGAGTCTCGCTCTGTTGCCCAGGCTGGGGTGCAGTGGCGCGATCTCAGCTCATTCCAACCCCCACCTCCCAGGTTCAAGTGATTCTCCTGCCCCAGCCTCCTGAGTAGCTGGGATTACAGGCGCCCACCACCACGCCCAGCTAATTTTTGTATTTTTAGTAGAGACAGGGTTTCACCAGGTTGGCCAGGCTGGTCTCGAACTCCTGACCCAGGTGATCCACCCACCTCGGCACCCCAAAGTGCTGGGATTACAGGTGTGAGCCACTGCGCCCGGCCTAGAGTCTTTTATGGGAGGCTATATGATGCAAAGAACTAGATTTTTGGAGCTAGTTCTGATTTCACAATCATAATAGTGCCACTTAGTAGCCACAGGACCTTAATTCTCCTCTCTGAGCTTCATAGAATCACTAGGAAGAATTAAATGAGAAAACATGAGTAGAACACTTTGCACAGCGCCTGGCCCAGTAGAAGCACTGGGCGCTTCCTTGCTTCTCAGTCTCCCTTCCCACCTCTCCCAACCCCTGCCTCCCCCCCATGCGCCTTTAATGAATGTGCTTCTGATGACTGTCCCCAGATGTGTAAGGACCACCTTTCCCCCCCTCTCCTCCAGTATGCCTTTCTGGTGACGGCGTCTGTGCAGTTTGCTGGTGGGATCGTTATCTTCTTTGGACTCCTGGTGTCACCAGAAGAAATTGGTGAGGAGAAGCCATCCCTTCTATTCTGAATGTCTTACTGTTATGGCCAAATGGAAATCTGAGGCCAAGAAATCAAATCTCTTTTTTCCTAGGAAAACTATGAGCTCCTTTTAGTGAGTGAAAGGAGAACAGTACTGCCGTTTGAGTCCTGTCGACATTGTAGCCAGCCCCTGGCACAGCTGCACATGTTTGAGGGGAGTGATGCACGTCTTTCATAGATCCAGGAAAATCTTCGCATTTGCAAATGATTTTTATACTTGAGACATTGGCTAGGAATCAACATGGATGTATTTCTAATTTCACTTCTTGAAACATTTCTTTTCGTCCGTAAAAGTGATTCATAAAAATGATACTTACCTGTAGTTAAATACAGATTACGTACAGGCGAAATCACAGAAGCAAACAGATGTACAGTTCTTTTATCTTTTAAATATTTTTAAACAGACTGTGTGACTTTAATTGACCTTAGTTGACCTTGGTCTCTGAGCCTTTGTTGCCACTTCTGTAAAATGGAAATAGTGATAAATGCAGAGCCTTCGCACATGGTGGGCACTCCATAAACACTGGCCGTTGCTGTTGTTTTAGGTCTCTCAGGTATTGAGGCAGAAGAAAATTTTGAAGAAGACTCACACAGGCCATTAATTAATGGTGGTGAAAATGAAGACGAATATGAGCCGAATTATTCAATGCAAGATGATAGTTCTGTTGCCCAAGTCAAGGCAGTAAGCTTCTACCAGGCGTGTTGCCTTCCTGGAGTCATACCGGTAAGGACCATGAACATCTCCTCACCACAGCCAGGGCGGAAGGAGAGCCCTTGACGTCTCCTCTGCCTGGGATAAAGCTTCCTTAAGTATTGAGCCTCTCTTGGCTACTTTATTTTAGGAATATATGTTCTGAGGATTATTGTCTAGTGCCCCTCAGCCTATCTGATCTCTAACGCAGGGGTTGACAAACTTTTCCATGAAGAGGCAGAGAGTAAATATTTTCGACTTCGGGGAACCATACAAGTCTCTCCCGCAACCACTTAGCTCTGTAGAGCAAAATAAGCCACAGAAAACATGGGACAGTTAGGCGTGGCCAGACTTGACCAAAGAGCCCTGCTTTCCTGACCCTGATCTAGCCTGAGACATTGGCTAGGAATGGCAAAGTTGATTATTTTTTAATGTGTACTTGTAGGCCTTTTGAAGTGTTATAGAATTATACGTGGACCAAGAAGAAGGGTTGTGAATGGTTCCTAAGCCTGCCTTACCCTCATTCATTCATTCTCATTCATTCATTCTCATTCATTCATTCATTCATTCATTTTAGACAGAGTCTTGCTCTGTCGCCCAGGCTGGAGTGCAGTGGCATGACCTCGGCTCGCTGCAACCTCTACCTTCCAAGTTCAAGTGATTCTCCTGCCTCAGCCTCCCGAGTAGCTGGGATTACAGGCGCGTGCCACCATACCCGGCTAATTTTTTGTATTTTTAGTAGAGACGGGGTTTCACTGTGTTAGCCAGGATGGTCTCAATCTCCTGACCTTGTGATCCACCTGCCTCGGCCTCCCAAAGTGCTGGGATTACAGGCAAGAGCCTCCGTGCCCAGCTTGTCTCCTTTTAAAGGGTCCAGAAGAGAGCACTCCACAGTCTTTCCTGGTAATGCATTCCAGTGTTTCCACAGCCTGTGCAGTCGGGAAAGCCTAACGTCTACACTGAATCCCTCCTGCTGCAGTTTTTCTGTCTTGATGTTTCGGGCGCTCTAGCAGTGGAGTGGAAGTTAAGAGGCCTAGGTTATGTTTCCAGCTTACCCACTAACTTTCTCTGACACCTGGGGTAAGTCATGCAACCCGTCCATGTGCCTCAGTTCCCCTTCCCCCGGAATAGAAATTATTCCAGTCTTCCCCAGAGTCTGTAACATTGGGCTCTTGTGTCTTGATCAAGCACCTGTTGTTACTTCATTTGTCAGTGGTGCTTTATGAATGCGATCCCTCAGGTAGAGTGATCTGTAGGCCATCTTATGACATGCCTGTCAATCCCCTTCTGCCAGTGCCCCCAAGCTGAGAGAACTAACGTTTCCAACAGAGTTAATTATGAGTTAAAGTGTAAGTGTAATTTTCCACAATTAACCCAGTGATGATATATATAATATAAGAGAAATGCAGGTTCCTTTAGGACCTCTTTTGCTGTTCCTTTGTTCTTCACTAGCTGTTGTTCTCTGACACAGGCAGGGATGTGAAGGAAATCTAGTTAACTTAATTCCTTTGTCTTTGTAGCAGGCTGTCTGGTCAGAATGCACTCGTGATTGGGATTTGGCTCTCTAGGGGGTGGCTGTTGCCTGCCAGGGAAGCTGTTTTAAAACAAGTGATACCTAGGGAATAACTGGCAGCTCCAGGGAAAAGAATATACTAGCCAGACACCCTTTGAAGTCAGCCCCTCTGTTCCCCCCGCTTTTTCCTTTGATGCTAAATGTCAGGATTTCCTGGTAGTAATGTGTTGAATATAGGCATCTCAGCCCCTCCACCGTCTCCGTGCAGCTGCAGCGTTTTTTCCCCTCAAGGGAGAGCCACGAGGCCAATGATGATGACATGTTCTTTCAGTTTTGACTCGCCAGAGAGACTCTTTTCTTTGCCACTGGACCAGGGAATGTGGAGCTTTTGGAAAGTAGTGTGAAAGGAATGATCATGCTGCTGCTTTTCTTAGAGCTTGGAACTGTAGTGTAGCCCCCTTGCTCTGCGCTGTTGACGGTGTCGCCTTGGCAAGGAGCAGAATAACCAAGCCTGTCTGGCTGTTCCCAGCAGAGGCCGGGATGCTTCCAGGACTTCTTTGCCTATGGTTAACGCTGGTTAGTGGCATGAATAGCATTCATCTTTGTGTGAATAAAGAAACGTGGGCATGTGCCCTGCCTTGTAGGTCCAAAACACTGGCCTGCTTCTACCAGAAAACTGATAGGAGGAGAAACTGCAGACAGTTAAGAAGTAGCCATTTGTGTTTTTTATTCCAAAGGCCCCCTGTACATGAAGTTAACAGGGATGAAGAGCAGAGGGAGACTGGGCGAACTCAGGCATGTGGGACTTTGTAGAGATGTTTAATTGTAAAATTAGGTCCTGTTCATCCTAAATTCCTTTATTTTGTTTTGCTTTTTAATGACATTAAAAATTGTGGTCATGCTCTGCTATTTGTCTGTCACTGAGAGTCGAATGCTTTTCTTGTAGTACTCACTGGCCTACGCCTGCTTGAAGTTGGTGAATTACTCCTTCTTCTTCTGGCTGCCCTTTTATCTGAGTAACAACTTCGGCTGGAAGGAGGCGGAAGCCGACAAGCTGTCCATTTGGTACGACGTTGGAGGGATCATAGGTATGCCAGTGATGCGTCTTTTCCATAAAGAGTTAGTCACTAGTGATCTTTTACTGGGTTGTGAAATCTGGTCTCACTTAAAGTTTTATTACTTATTCTACAGCCATTTTCCCTAAACTGTCCTACTAGTAAACAGCCAAACTCTTAAAAAAAGAAAAAAGAAAAAAAAGAGGTCTGTAGAAAGAAGACCCAGCCTAAGGCAGCACTGTGATTTATTGGGCTCTTTTTTCTCAGTCCTTTGTTGATGGAGCTGTTCTTTTGTTTGGGGAAGCACATGGGAATCTCTTTAAATACAATCCTTTCCTGTGCTTTCTCAGTGGTGTCTTAGCTCTAAAGCTAATTGTATGTCAGAGATCCAAGTTAGAATGTGAACGTGTTCATTGTTATCTCTCTCCCACCTTCCCCACCATCCCTGGCCTAACCAGGGAGAATGCAGCAATCTCCCCTTATGTGGTGTCACTTATATATAATATTTTCAGAGAAAGAGAGAGAGACCATTCATATAACTTAGGTTACAGTATATCGTTATTGTTTTCTATTTTGTCAATTTCTATGCCTAACTCATAAATTAAACTTGATCATGGGTATGTACGTATAGAGAAAAACACAGTATGTATGGAGTTTGGTACTGCCTGTGGTTTCGGACATCCGTGGGGGTTGTGGAACATACCATGAGGATAAAGGGGAACTATACCTTAGTATGTAGATCATCAGGTCTTAGAGGCTGGAGTAACAGCAGGGATTAATTTTTGTGAATGTTTTTACAGTTGTTTCATTGTAAACAAAGATTTTAATAGTGGATTTTTGCTGTAGCTAGAAGTATGAACAAGGAAGTAATAAGTATGAAAAAGGAAGTAAGACAGATGAGCAGAATGCATTTTAATGGGTATTACTTACATGGCTAATACGCAGATCTTCAAAACCTTCAAAATGTTAACATTTAGAATTGTGGTGAGACTCAACGCCCCTGAGCTTGTGAAAGCACGCAGTCTATCCTAGGTGATCTGCTATTACTTTATTTGAACTTGGCTGCCCATATTCTTAAATCCAGAGCCAAAGGTGAGGTTGCCACCTTTAGATCTCACCATACTCTGTGTCCTCTGAAGTTAAAATTGTCCAGCTGCCTGCTGTCTGATGAGGACTCACCAGATGTCCCATAGCCCCTAGAACTCAGAGTAGGGCAGCATGTGACATTGTTGCTTGAAAGATTCACATCCCTGCTTTGCAAAGATCATGTCCTATTACTAAACCAGAACTGCTGAATTGTATTTTAGTGAATATTTACTAGCCACCTTTTTCTTTTTTTTGGAGACGGGGGTACTGTTCTGTTGCACATGCTGGGGTGCAGTGGCACAATGTTGGCTCACTGCAGCCACAACCTCCTGGGCTCAAGCGATCCTTCCACCTCAGCCCCCCAAGTAGCTGGGACTATAGTCATGCATCACCACACCCAGCTAATTTTTTTGTATTTTTTGTAGAGATGGGGTTTCACCATGTTGCCCAGGCTGGTCTCGAACTCCTGAGCTCAGGCAATTTGCGCACCTCAGCCCCCCAAAGTGCTTGGATTATAGGTGTGAGCCACTGTGCCCAGCTTCTGGCCTCCATAGACTGTAAGGCAAAGTTGTTTTTTTTTTTTTTCTTTTTTCGAGACAGAGTCTCACTCTGTTGCCAGGCGCCGGAGCACAGTGGCGTGATTTCAGCTCACTGAAACCTCCGCCTCCTGGGTTCAAGCAATTTTCCTGCCTCAGTCTCCCGAGTAGCTGGGACTATAGGCACATGCCACCACGCCCAGCTAATTTTTTTTTTGTATTTTTAATAGAGACAGGATTTCACCATGTTGGCCAGGATGGTCTTGATCTCTTGACCTCATGATCCACCCGCCTCAGCCTCCCAAAGTGCTGGGATTACAGGTGTGAGCCACCATGCCCGGCAGTTTTTTGTTTTTTAAGACACGGTCTTGCTCTGTTGCACAGGCTAGAGTGCAGTGGGACGATACAGCTCACTGAAGCCTCAGATTCCTGAGCTCAAGTGGCATGATATGGTTCACCACAACCTCAGCCCCCTAGCTCAACTAATCCTCCCGCCTCAGCCTCCCAAGTATCTGGGAATGTAGGCATGTGCTACCACGCCCAGCTAGTATATTTTTAGACTGGCTTTGAACCCCTGGCCTCAAGCAATCCCCTAGCCTTAGTCTCCCAAAGTGCTGGCATTATAGGTGTGAGTCACCGTGCCCAGCGAGGCATAGTTCTTAATTTATTATCTTTTAAATTAAAAAGAAAAATCAGAAATAACATTCACAGCTTATTTTTGTAAGGGATAGTGGGTGGGCTTTAACAGTTTCATGTTTTGCTGTCTGATTTGTGATATCCTGTCCCCTTTGGTCATCGTGGCGATTTAACAAACAGTTTATCTTCCTAAAAGGAAGTTATAGAGGACCCCTTTTCAGGGAGTCAGCCATATGTTTTGATAGACCAGTGTTAGGATCCTGTTAGGGAGACTAGAGGGTGGATGGGGAGCACACCTCAGATGACCGAGCTGCATTAGAAGTGATTTTGATTGCTCTTCACTCTGTGCTTGCAGGTGGAACATTGCAAGGCTTCATCTCTGACGTACTACAGAAGAGAGCGCCGGTTCTTGCCCTGAGTCTGCTTCTGGCGGTTGGGTCCCTCGTCGGGTATAGTCGTGAGTATCCCTTTGCAATTACTAATTCCTTTGCTTTCCTAATCTGATAGGAATAAGGCATTTGTCTGGAGTCAGTGATCAGCGCCAGGGAGAGCCTGGAGACCAGCTTTAAGGCCCAACATGCCACCTTCGTATTGTCCTGTGAATGCCTGGGAAACCTGTCATCACATCGTTTTATTTGTGTTGGGAGGAAACTGGCATCTCTTTTGCTTTGTTAATATGCTTAAAAGCTTGCTTGGGAGAGTATATGCTTTGTTTAGGGGAGGCTCCAGAGGCGGGCGTTATAGCCAATAAAACAATAAAAGGGGAACAGGTTTCAAAAGCGGAAAGATGGTAATTAGTAGGTTGGTATATGTCCCTTAAGATGCCGTTGAGACAGGAGTAGAGCTTTTCTTTAGCTTTTAGAAGTCTCGTTAGCTTGAGCACCAGCAAGAGGCAGACGTTACAAATCAGAGTTGAAAGAGGCAGAGAGACTTGTGTCTCTTTGTTGTCTCTGGGAGTGATTTGTGAGGTCACAGAGATTCAGATCTTTGCGTACTGTTGGCGGAGGCACGTGGAGTCTGCTTTTCAAGTCACTGTGGTTTGTCTGTGTCTTCCCTAACAGGTTCTCCAAACGATAAGTCCATCAATGCCTTTCTGATGACTGTTACAGGTACGGCACATGCCTCTGCTCCACTGTGTGTCTGTTACTCTGTCAATTCAGAGGAAAAAGGAAACTGCTTTTCTCTCTCAGTTTGAGTAGTACTGAAACCTTAATTACAGAGAATTCAAATTTTAAAATGAAAGATGTCTCCTTTTCCAGATTTCTTTTTCTCTGCTCTTTCTTCTTCTGCTCTCACTTGTAGAAGTGACTTAGAAAGATGCCACATGGGAGCCCAATTCACCAGCTTTCAAGAAAAAATCCACTATAGCTCGTGTGTCCTCCTGTGTTGGAATTGGTCAGCATTTTGTCACGTGAACACTAGATAAAATAGTTGGGTGCATTTAGGAAGCATGTTATAGAAAAATTATTATTTATTTATATTTTGAAATGGAGTCTTGCTCTGTTGCCCAGGCTGGAGTGCAGTGGCGCAATCTCAGCTCACTGCAACCTCCGCCTCCTGGGTTCAAGTGATTCTCGTGCTTCAGCCTTCCGAGTAGCTGGGATTATAGGTGTGCACCACCATGCCCGGCTAATTTTTGTATTTGTCGTAGAGATGGGGTTTCACCATGTTGCCCAGGCTGGTCTTGAATTCCTGACCTCAGGTGATCTGCCCGTCTTGGCCTCCCAAAATACTGGGATTACAGGCATTTGCTACCATGCCCAGCCAGAAAAATTACTAATTTTAAACTTTATTTTTATTTTTGAGAGGGAATCTCGCTCTTGTTGCCCAGGCTGGGCCTCAGTAGGTGGCACTCTTGTGCTGTAGAACACTGTACTGAGAGCTCAGGGGCTCCTGTCTCCTCTCAGGGCCAGCTGATACATCCCAT